TCTATTGCCAATCCTCCTCTTTTTTCTCCCCAAAGCCCCAGTAGATAGTTGTATGTCATAGCTGCACATCCTTCTAGTTGCTGTATGTGGGATGTGGCCTCAGCATGGCCGGAGAGGCGGTGGGTTGGTGCGTGCCCGGGATCCAAACCCGCGCGGTCAGTAGCAGAGCTCGAGCACTTAACCGCTAAGCCATGGGGCTGGCCCCTGTAATTCATTGTTTTACCACATAGTGTCACTTCCATTGTGAAGATGTGTCAGTTTTCAGCCCAGCCAATTTTTGTTCTGTTTTTTAATCTTTTTCCCTTAGTCTGTGTCCTCTCCTTCTGCAACTTCTGTTGCAATGGTTCAAGGATTCTTTTACTTGAGTCCAAGATACACATCTGTTCTTGGAAGCCTTCTATATTGCAGATGCCCTTGACATTGTCACCTGTGTGGGTAAATGTGAAGGTACAGTTGTTTGGATGGATTGAGTGATCAGTGAATTTAGCCAAGAAAATATATGTCTTATACAGTGTGGTGGAGAATGTGGTTATGAGAGAATTCACCTAAACAGAAAATTCAGAATCCTCTTGTATTTTTTTCTCTTTTCCTGGGAAAGTATTGCCAAATTTTAACATGTGCTTGGCCTCACATCCAGGACTCCGACCTTATGTCACCATGATTCCAGTCCTTCTCACCCTTAGAATATGTCTGTGAGGTGTGGGATAGAGTCTCTGCTTGTGGACTTTTTATTTTTCATTTTTGCTCATTACTTAGTTTATTCAACAAATATGCTTTGAATGTCCTCTGGGATTTCAAAGATGATGTGACCCTGCTGTTGGGGTCATAGGTTAGTGGGAACACATGGCTGCCAGGCAGTGTACTGGACCACGTTGGAGGCATGTGTGGCGTATCAGGAGCGTAGAAACAGGTGGTTGCCTGCTTGTGTAAGTTTCACAGACGAGAGGCTATATGGGCTGAGTCCGAGTCCTGAAAACATTAGGTGCAGGGTAAGGAGGCCTCTGAATAATTTGGTTTGACAAGAAACTAGGAGTATGTGGGAGTGAGGGTGAATGAGGCTAAAAATTATGTCCTTTCTCTTCTGGTGCATGTAAACTCGTGGGTAGGGACCATGTCTTTTTGCAGTCCTTGGGATAGTCACAGTGCCGGACCTGGGCCAGTAGTTGGAGGACCCAGCAGCAGTCACTCTGAGGTCCACACACACTTGACTTTCTTTTTTTTTTTCCTTAAATAATTATTTATTTATTTATTTTCCCCCAAAGCCCCAGTACATAGTTGTATGTCATAGCTGCACATCCTTCTAGTTGCTGTATGTGGGACGCAGCCTCAGCATGGCCAGAGAAGCGGTGCATTGGTGCACGCCCGGGATCCGAACCCCAGGCCGCCAGCAGCGGAGCGTGCACACTCAACCGCTAAGCCACAGGGCCGGCCCTCACACTTGACTTTTTGTACGCCCTCGGCACTAGATGGTTGGTTACAAATAATTTCATCTCTCTTGAATCTTAAGTTGATAGTTGGGAACCAACAGTATTTCAACCAACAAGTAGTTCTTTCCTATGGTAAAATGTAGTTAGTCATTATAGCAGTGAGGGATGTCAGAACCTGGGTAATCTGGAAAATGTAATGTTAATAATAAAAATGTAAACTGCCATCAGACCTTTTCACCAGAGCTCCAGCAAGTGTCCCAAGTAACTGATTTGCCTGTAGTGAAATGGGAAAGCTGCCTCCCAAAGAAGAGATCAGAACCTGAGAAATCAACAACAGCCTTGCTCTCCATAAGCAAATGTAATTGTGTTGTAAGGCAGATAGGGTAGCGGGTTGGTCATTTCACATGGCTTGGTAACTGCTGTGACCACCACAGTCCCTGAGTCCTGTTTCCTGATTGTGCTGGATGCCCTTGTTCTTGCCGTTGACGTTGCCAGAATAAGATGAGGCAGCCGTGGTAGGACTGGCTGGTGCTCAAGTTAACATCTTAATGCCTTTGTCTAACGTTCTCTGTAAGCTGGAGCCTTTGCTGGAATCTTCTGCCTTGGAAATGTGAGTTGTAAGGAGTGGGGAGTCTGCTCCAAGCACCAGAAATGTCAGAAGGGCAGAGTTCCACTCTTTCTTGTAGGGTCAAGCATTGCAAATTTGTTTGATTTCCCTAAACAAACCTCACCTGGTCTTGTCCAGCCACAACTTCCCATTTACTGCTTTTATTGTTTTTGTTGATTTTTTTCTTTTTTTTGTGAGGAAGATTAGCCCTGAGCTAACATCTGTTGCCAATCCTCCTCTTTCTTCTGAGGAAGATTGGCCCTGGGCTAACATCCGTGCCCGTCTTCCTCTACTTTATATGTGGGACGCCTGCCACAGCATGGTGTGATAAGCGGTGCGTAGGTCTGTGCCCGGGATCCAAACCTGCGAACTCTGGGCCACCGAAGTGGAGCGTGCGAACTTAACCACTATGCCAGCCTTGCCGGCCCCATCTTTTCTTGCTTTATTTTGCTTTCTCCCTCTGCTCTCACTTTGGGTACCATGCTGTTTAATTTCTACCCTTAACACCTCTTGTGCTGTGACTTTCACAAGAA